ATTTTAATGGTCTCAACATTATCACCTAAAATTGAAAGATAGAAGGGGGTATAAATACATATAAACACACACACACACACACACACACACGCACACACGCACCCCTTTCTAGGCAATAGATTGTTAGGTTGTTTCATTTTCTTTGATAATTCCTCAAAATATTTTATGCCATATCCCCTCAGTAGTTATTCATTTATATTCAGTCCTGCTGATATCAAGGCCTATTTTCTCACATTTTTTCTTTAGAGTTTATTATCTCACATATAATTCTTTTATTTCATTTTCCATATTTTAATATTCTACCATCTACAGTATTTAAGTTTATTTTTCTTTGTCTAGCATTTATTAATATGGATACTAGGAAAAATATAAAATTTTGGAAATAAGACCAGTTATACTGCTGCTGGTATGTAGGAGAATGACTTTTTTGGTGGTGGTGGTGGTCTTGGGGATTGAACCTAGGGCCTTGTTCATGCCCAGTGAATGCTCTGTCACGGAGGTATATCCCTACTCCAGAAAATCATTTAATAAGACATTCATGATTTTCAGTTAAATTTTATGATTTTGCTTTTCTTTGTTATAATGGTCTTGGTGATTCCTATACTCATAATAATAGTAATAATAATAATAATAATACCTTATAGGAGCTTCCCTTCAAGTACAATTTTATTTTCATTCAAGGAATTAGTAGTTTGATTCCTTTGTTCTTAGTTGCAAAAAATTAAGTTATACTGGCACTTTTCTGATAATTTTTATGAACTCTAATAACCTTGATGACTGTTGGTATAAACTTCAAATACTCTTGTTATACTGATGTATCAAAAACTGATAAAAATAGATGTCATCTAATTTTAGATTATATATAAATTAGTAAATTAGTAAGTCTTTTCAAAATACAAAAAGGTAGTTTAGGACAAAGATATTTTCAAATTAATTGAAAGTTTTCATCCCCTGAAGGAAGAATCTGAGTATGTAACTGAACTTTAAAAATGTGTGCCAGTGTTTTAGAATTCCTTTTTATTTTATTGGAAACAGACACAGCAGTTTCACTGGCAGAACGTATAGGTGCACTGAATCAATACAAGTTAGTTTCCCCCTCATTCGATTGCCGCCCACTGCAGACACTTTGGGTCCAAGTTAAGAGAGCCAGTGAGAACGCGAGTCCCTGATGAACCCAAGTCCCTTTTATGTGGAAGAGAGCTTCCACCACAAGGAGGCGCTGCCGTCCCTCTACCCGGCTCTTATTCAGTGCCCGGAAGAACTGTCCAGGCAGTGCGCCGCCTTGCTTCATTCAGGCTGCGGGGCAGGAATTGATGCTAACAGCGCCGCTGACCAAGGCTGCTTTATTGAAGCTCACTGGACGCCCGTCAATCACGAA